AGAGTCCAGTATTATACCTAGATACTCTATCACTGTAGTCGGACCAGTCGTTTTGTGTTTCGCGATCGGGATGTTAAGTCTTTCAAATATCAGTAACAATTTGGCCATAGTGTTTTCTGCGTCATAGCCGGGTTTATCCACTGTAAGGAAATCATCTAACAGATGTAGGATAAATTCTATTCCGTAGTTATTTTCTGCTATCCAGCAAATCGATGATGATAATTGATCAAAAATCTTTGGACTGGACCTACATCCGAAAGCTAGACGGTTGTAATAGTAATACTGATCTAGCCACTTGACACAAAACAAATGATATTGGGACGGTGAAATTGGTACCACTTTGAAAGCGTCAGAAATGTCAGTCTTGCACATCTTTGAACCCTGACCGTTCTTAACCACTTGTTTGATCGCGTTGTCTATCCTAACATATGACAGGGAGCATTCTACTTTGTCAATTAAGTCGTTGATGCTACTATGATTCGCGTCGTTGTGCGGAGCTGATAAGTCCAGGATGAGTCTTTGTTTGTCAGACTATTTCGCTTTTGCGACACCAATGGGAGACACACGATAGGCCGGAAACGGTGGAGCAACGAACGGTCCGGAAATAAAACCTTTCTGGAGTTCTGTATCTAAAAGTTTTGTAACCACCTCTGGTTGTTTAATGGCAGATTGCAGGTTTTGCATTCTTTTGTCGGCAAGTCTAATTGTCGGACTTTTGTATGGAAACCTTTGGTTAAAGCCTTGTACAATATTGTGCACGAAAACCCTATTCGGGTGACGAGTCAATTCCATTTTGAGTTGCTGAATGTTGACCGGCGTATTTATATTTTCTTCAGTTAATTTATCGCCCAATACTATCACCTGTGTGTCCCGGTTTTGGCTATCTACTGATGATAGTCATTCCTTCTCTGAACGGGACCGTAGTGGGTATTGTTCCCCTTTTGTGTTGCAGTCAGCCGCACCGTGTGTGTTTTGTTTACACTGAGAACAGACATGAATGTACAGGCATGATGACTCGCGATTACAGCCCCTTTTAGTGTTGTAATTATTACATAATTCCACCCCGTTGTGGAATACACGTTTGCGGCCATGTTTGTCGGTATCTGTAGACGGACTACGTGAATTTTCTGCCTGATCATGATGATTGTTCTTGGAATGTTGATGAATGCCGCTGCGCGGACAGTAATGCGTCTCATGCGATGCTTCACCGCAGTTGCCGCAACTGTGGGACTTGGACCCGGCGGTGACCAACTGAATAAGGTCTCGATCCCTAATGGACCAGTCCATCTTGAGGCCGTGGAGGGCCATGGCGTTTGCACTTTTTAAAGAGAACAGTTTATGATATTCGTAAAATTTTGCACCGTAGGTGTTATACAGGCCTACAACAATGGCTTCATACTGTTCTAACTCTTCCCATCTGTCGGGATAAGCCTGGGACATGGTGCGTTTGTATCTTCCAAACGCCGTTATGAATTTTCCGATACTAAGAGACCGGCAGAGTTTGTGTTCCTGGGCCTGATTCCTTTGTGATAGGGTATCGGGGACCTCATAGTAGGGGATCAACAGTGATGCTAAATTAACATCCCTACCTTCAATGATCTGTCTCCTCACCGAGGCCGCCATGAGGTCCATGTGAGGGATGTCTTCGGGTGATACCCCAAACCTCGCCCTGGGCATGGCGCTGAATGCCGTTTCGTTGAATGTTGGTACATGAGGTCCCGCCCCCGTTTGCATCGTAGGTNTTTCCATGTTGGTTTTTTAGGAGGATCTTCGAGAATGGACCACGCTGTTGGGAGGCTGTACTTGCCGAGGAGTTGCGCCGCCCTTGAGGCGAAGCATGAGCTGTCTTGGCTGTTCATCAAGAGTGATCTGCGAAGGATGGCATATTCGACAGCTTCTGCGTTTCTAGCAATGTTGACGAAGAAAGTCATGATGTTCTTCTCCAGGGTTATGCTGATTGGTTCAGCGCCAATTAGCGTGTATACAGCTGTGCTGGCTGTTGCCGTTGGTAATCCCTGGAGTTGCTTCAGTATCTTCCTGTGTGCCTTTTCGATGTTTTCCCTCTCTGTGATCGTTAATGTCATTACTTCTAGCCCATACGTTAGACGTGGGACAGCGTATGCTCTCCAGAGCTTGTGCGTGGCAGTTGGAGACATGCCATTTTTTGCGTATAGCCCCGCTCCTAGCAGTGCATAGATGGTATTCCTTGCACATTTGATCCGTTCATTGGTATTCGCTTTGTTGGTTTTTGAGCGGATTATGCCCAGATGTTTTGCTTCCACTGATGGTGTGATTGTGGATTCCCCAAAGTTGACAGCTGACTCGCAGCTTTTGCTGTTTCCATATATAATCAGCTTCGATTTTGCAGCATTGATGGTGACTCGATCAAGCTCAGTATGGTGGTCTACGAGCTCCAGAGATGTTGATGTCACCGATGTGGGATCCCATGTCTTTGTTGGTAATACTGTCGAGGATGGTGTTGTTGTATACTTTATAGAGTGTTGTCGAAAGTTTGGCGCCCTGTTTGGTTCCTTGCTTAAGATTTACGTTGTTTGAGGTATTGTTTTCCCATTTTACTTTGATGTTGGAGTTCTTGTACATGTTCCGTAGGAGTATCCATAGTGGTCCTTTTACTCCTGCATGGGATAGTTTGTTGAATAAAATTTCGTGGTTTACGGTGTCAAAGGCTTTTTGGGCGTCCAACGTCACAAGAAACAACTCTTTTTGGTTTTCCTTTGCGTCTATAATAGCTTCCGAAATCATGAGTGCAGCTCCTAGGGGGGAGACACCAGCTGTGAATCCTCTTTTTGGTTCAGTATTTCCTCCAGCCTAACCTTGATAATTGCTTCGAAGACTTTAGAGAACACGTTTGTGACGGTGATACCTCCAAAATTAGATGGAATTGTCTTGTCCTTTCCTTTTTTGAGGATCGGTGTAAGGATCCCCTCTTTCATGGGTTGAGTTATGTCCAAGTTTTGTAGCAGCTTGTTGAATGTTTGAGTTAGTGCTGTTGTAAACTCATGTCCTGCATACTTTAGGTGCTCTGCTGAGATGCCATTTGCGTCCATGGCTTTTCCAGAGTTGAGGTTCCTAATGGCCGTCTTTACTTCATTTTCCGTGATTACTTGGATCTTTTCATCTTTTGATAATTCCGTTTCCATGATGATGTCGTTTTGGATTTTTGATAACTTTTCCCTGGTTAGATCTTGGTTGTTTGTCTCTGGCGGGGTGGCCAATTGCTGAAAATGCTTTTCCCATTACTCTAGGATTTTGAGTGGCTCAGAGTAGACGTTGTTGTAAACTTGAATGACTTTGGTCGTTGAGGAGCCCGATGTCCGTTGCTTATTTACGAGGTTATGGAATAACTTGCTGTCTCTTGATGACGATTCCATAATGTCTCGATGGAGTTGGTCCCGTTGTGCCGCATATGCTCTTCTTTGTAGCGCTCTAACTCTCCTTTTNGATGTTCTCTGTGATTGTTAATGTCATTACTTCTAGCCCATACGTTAGATGTGGGACAGCGTATGCTCTCCAGAGCTTGTGCGTGGCAGTTGGAGACATGCCATTTTTTGCGTATAGCCCCGCTCCTAGCAGTGCATAGATGGTATTCCTTGCACATTTGATCCGTTCATTGGTATTCGCTTTGTTGGTTTTTGAGCGGATTATGCCCAGATGTTTTGCTTCCACTGATGGTGTGATTGTGGATTCCCCAAAGTTGACAGCTGACTCGCAGCTTTTGCTGTTTCCATATATAATCAGCTCCGATTTTGCAGCATTGATAGTGACTCGATCAAGTTTAGTATGGTGGTCTACGAGCTCCAGAATTGCTTCCATTTCATGGTGGTTATTTGCCAGAAGGGCGATGTCGTCTGCACAAGTCGGGCATGCGATGTTGATGTCACCGATGTGGGATCCCATGTCTGTGTTGGTAATACTGTCGAGGATGGTGTTGTTGTATACTTTATAGAGTGTTGTCGAAAGTTTGGCGCCCTGTTTGGTTCCTTGCTTAAGATGTACGTTGTTTGAGGTATTGTTTTCCCATTTTACTTTGATGTTGGAGTTCTTGTACATGTTCCGTAGGAGTATCCATAGTGGTCCTTTTACTCCTGCATGGTATAGTTTGTTGAATAAAATTTCGTGGTTTACGGTGTCAAAGGCTTTTTGGGCGTCCAACGTCACAAGAAACAACTCCTTTTGGTTTTCCTTTGCGTCTATAATAGCTTCCGAAATCATGAGTGCAGCTCCTAGGGGGGAGACACCAGCTGTGAATCCTCTTTGGAGTGGATTTTGCTTTTGGTTCAGTATTTCCTCCAGCCTAACCTTGATAATTGCTTCGAAGACTTTAGAGAACACGTTTGTGACGGTGATACCTCTATAATTAGATGGAATTGTCTTGTCCTTTCCTTTTTTGAGGATCGGTGTAAGGATCCCCTCTTTCATGGGTTGAGTTATGTCCAAGTTTTGTAGCAGCTTGTTGAATGTTTGAGTTAGTGCTGTTGTTAACTCATGTCCTGCATACTTTAGGTGCTCTGCTGAGATGCCATTTGCGTCCATGGCTTTTCCAGAGTTGAGGTTCCTAATGGCCGTCTCTACTTCATTTTCCGTGATTACTTGGATCTTTTCATCTTTTGATAATTCCGTTTCCATGATGATGTCGTTTTGGATTTTTGATAACTTTTCCCTGGTTAGATCTTGGTTGTTTGTCTCTGGCGGGGTGGCCAATTGCTGAAAATGCTTTTCCCATTGCTCTAGGATTTCGAGTGGCTCAGAGTAGACGTTGTTGTTAACTTGAATGACTTTGGTCGTTGAGGAGCCCGATGTCCGTTGCTTATTTACGAGTTTATGGAATAACTTGCTGTCTCTTGATGACGATTCCATAATGTCTCGATGGAGTTGGTCCCGTTGTGCCGCATATGCTCTTCTTTGTAGCGCTCTAACTCTCCTTTTTAGCCTTGTCCCTTTCGTCCGGAGTGCGAATGCTTCTGTCTCGTTTTTACATTTCCTCAGTCTTGTTTGAGCTTTTTTGGATTCTTTTATGGCTTCAGCTATGTCCTCATTCAGGGCTTGAAACATCGGTGATATGGGCGCAGCCATGTTTGAGCCGGAACTACCTTCATCGGTATCCTTGGGCGTGTTATTGTTGTTGTAGGCCGCCGTCTCACACATGTCTGCTGAAGCACTGCGGGCGCCTGTGACTGAAGGTGTGCGATTAACCCTCCGCGGTGAAAAATAGTCCGCGCTTACTTCCCTGTCTTCCGGGCTGTACGAGCGGGATTTGTCATTCCGAGAGGAAGGTCCCGCTATAAATTGCATGTCGATCTCGTTTGAAGAACGAGTGGTGGCGAACTGCGGTTTTGGGCGAGGAATCCTCGATCGCGGGACATGGGCACTACCCTGTGAACGCTCATTTGCATGTCGGGTTAGTAGATTGTCAACATACAATTTACGAAGTGTAGAGATTGAAAACGACGTGGAAGTTACTAATCCGATCGCAGAAAGTTCATGGCATAATCTGGTGACACCCCAGTTCAGATAGTTGGTCATATCCAGCGCACTTCCAGACGTTTTCTGTTTCTTTGATTTTGGCGCCATGATGAAGGAAGGGGTAAAACACTCCCCTGACTAATACTTCAAAAGTTCATCGTATGTACATACGAGAGACTCCCTCGTTTCACACAACATACATGATACCTCCCAGACAATAAGTAAAGTTCTTGTACGTAGAATTTTGAGAGAATCACTGGATAAAATGCTTGAATTGATACAGATTGAGAGAATTAAAAATGGCTGCTGGAGCTGACTGATCTCCCTCAAAGTTGCACACGCCCCCACTCTGATCACGTGATCTGGATAGTTCCTTACTAGGGAATGACTGGCATGACTGCACACAACCTTTGACTTATTCACCACATAGTCAGCCCACAGTCCACGACACCCAATGACTGCCTTTATTACTAGATATAGAAACTTATCACTGCCATAAAACATGCTTAAAATTATTTAAGCTTCAACATGTATTTTATGGATATTTTTTGAGTTAAATTTCAGTTAGTATGAATGTACCGGAAGTAAGAATATTTGTTCATGGTTGCTTTAGTATTACATTTTAGTGTTGGAATTATGTTAAAATAGTGTGTGTTTTTTTATTACAGACCCAGGAAGTCAAATACATTGAGTGGTAAGTCAATTTTAATTACATTGTAGATTGGATTGTCTCCCTTGCATTTCAAGACTGTTCAAATTTGCATATGTTTTAAAGTGAAATATTTTATTTTCCTCCATTAGCAAATGAAAAAGTGACCTTCCTTTCACTACATGGCACCAAAAGCTTGCAAAAACAACAGTTGTTTTTGTTTTAAAAAAATAATCTATTTTTAGGTGAAATAGCTTTATCAGCGGTGTTAAACACCCCTGCAGTTTCATTGGCAATTTCTGTAACTTCTATATGGAATGATGAAGCTTATCACGTGAGACAGAGCATGTATATATATACTCAACCCTCTTTTTCTTTAATGCATACGACAAGAATAGATATCCATTTGTAACTTGTTCAAGATTGTTCGAAGTTAACTTACGTGTGGCTTGGAAGTTTACTTTTTAAAAATGTTTAAAATGATTTAAGGCTAATGGGCTCTTGTTGTGTTTAACAGATGATGTCCGGATATCTAGAAGGAAAAGGTATCTAAGGGCAGCGTCATCGGGTGAGGTCAACATTGAATATGGTAGATCCCCCAGCCAGCAGAATCTGACAGGGTATTGGGCGACGCCAGTACTCCGTTCCTAGTCCCAATTCATTGTGGCATATTGATGGACATATGAAGCTGATCAGGTAAAGAAAGAAGCTATGTGCTAGTTCTTGCCCACCAGACCCAAGATATCCCCATTTCCACCAGTGCTGAATATCCTACGTGTATGTTGTGGGCACTTGAGTAATAACAATAATCCACAATCATACGGCCACCTATTCCCCGATTAGACAAGACATTTTCCACTTCTTCTCAACTCCCACCAGGCCAATGCCACAGGTAACCAAACTTGATCTGAATAATGCTGTCATGGTCCTGAAACATGTGATGTTATTCTTTTTTTTTGGGTTGATTAGAAATCCAAATAGCTGATTGGCTGAAACATTTGCCAAATAATTCTCAGATTAAATTAATTGTAACTAGATGTAAAAAAGAAACATATCAGTGTTACAGGCCTTATGGGCCTCTTGTGTTGGTGTTTAAACTTTTCATCTAGTAAGAAATTTCAACAGCTGCAAATTCCATGGATCAACTTCATAAACTGCCATTATGCCATTGCAGAGAAATTGTGTTTGCTTTATTTCTTTGGATTTAAATTTCTATTGCTACAAATGTTTCTTTTTCTTTTATAGATGGAAAATAGCCACACATGGAGCAATCAATGGATGTTCAAGATTGATATTGTATTTATCCAGTAGTCCAGATAACAAGTCCTCCACAGTGTTTCACAAGTTTGTGACTGCCTGTACCAAATATGGACTCCCTGCTAGAGTGCGGTCAGACCCTGGACGTGAGCATGTAGACATTTGACTGTTCATGAATATGATAAATGGACTTGAGGCAAACAGTATGCTGACTGGCCGTTCTGTCCATAACCAGAGAATTGAACGTCTATGGAAAGATGTGTATGAACAAGTTATACATTTGTTCTATCAGCTCTTTTACAACATGGAAGATCAAGGACAATTAGATGTTGAATCTCCAGTGCATATCTATGCTCTGCATTTTGTATTTTTGGCAATACTGAACTCCCACCTTGAGGTATTCCGTCTAAATTCCCCTTTCTTGGCTGTTTCTAACATTTTCAATGACATATCCCTGGAAACATCTTTGCTGGACTCCTTAAGGACTTTTGGTATTAGTGTAGAGGATGTTCAAGGGTTGGATCAATTGGCAGACAATGAAAATATTGAAGTGCTAAATGACGAACAAAAGAGGGAAATGCAATGAGTAGTGGACAGCACTGAAGACTATAGCAAGAAGTTCTTGAAATGCATTGAAACTCTTGGTCATTTCCTTCCATGATCTACAGTAGTATCTATACATGTACATATAAAGTTAAGTAAACTAGTGAAATACTGTAAAGCAGGTACTCTTGGAAGAATAAATGGCCGAGTAGAAATTATGCAGTTCAGCAACTTATGTCCAACCAGTGGAACTGTACTGTAGTTTTAAAGTTTTATACCTGGGTATTGTTTAACATCCCATCAACATCTAAGGTCATTTAAGGATGTTTGGTTTTAGTTTTGGTTTTATTAGCTGACAGAGCTTATGCGATACCGCGGTGTCTGTCTACCGTCCGTCCGTCAACAAAGCCTACTCTTCCTAAACGACTGATCGGATTTAGACCAAATTTGCTGTGATGCATCCTTGGGATGAGGGAATCAAACGTTAAATAAAAGAAGGGTGTGGGCCCCCTGGGGGGGCAGAGGGGCGGGGCCCAATAGGGGTAAATTATGGTATTGCATTTGAAATCTTACTCCTCCTAAACTATTGCATGGATTGTTACCATATTAGGGCTGAATCATCACTGGGGCAAGGCGATCAAACGTTAAATAAAGGAAGGGTGTTGGCCCCCTGGGGGCTGAGGGGCGGGGCCCAATTGGGGTATTTAAGCATTTGAAATCCTACTCCTACCATACTATTGCACAGATTGATACCATATTAGGTCTGAATCATCACTGGGGCAAGGCAATGAAACGTTAAATAAAGAAAGGGTGTGGGGACATTTTAGCTATATTACATGTTTTGCTTGAATATCCAGGTGAGCGATACAGGCCCTCTGGGCCTCTTGTATTGTTTAACATTCTATTAAGAGCTTAGGTCGTTTAAGGACGTACATTATTGTGCATATTTTATTTTGTTAATGCTAAGCTTGTTTCCAATAGGCTTTACTTTCCAGTCTGTACTCTGTAAGACCTTGTCTTTAGATTAGGTTTTGTGTGTAGACACATTTTCTTACTTGGGCCACACCAAATTAATGTGTAGTTCTTCAGAATTTATATTTTTAAAATAGTACAGGAGTACGACTTATTTTACGATAATCAAACATATGAATGATACATAAAACAGCATGAAAGTAGAAATACTTTTATTTTTACAAAATGTATGGCAAGCTAACTGAACATTGAATACCTATATATCTTATGTGCTTTTAAGAAAATATGCCATAAACTTATTGCGATATCTCTATGAATTTATGAGATATCTTGTAAGCAATTGAGATATCTCGTGTAATATTCCCAAATCAATCAAAATGTCTCCATTCAAAAGTAGCTCGTATACTGCAATAATTAAGATACAAGTGTAGATACATTGTATTTTATGTATAACTTTCAGCATTGTGTTCAACATCGTACTTGACAAACTTATAACTTTATGAGCGAACAAGAGCAAAGAACATCCAGATTTAGGGATACATGTATTTTAAATTTTGTAATTGCCGAAAAAATACCAGAATCTTTGTAATTCTTGATTTTCTTTTGAATATGGGATTTTTTTCATATTTATTTTAAGTGAGGGAATTTCGAAGAACTACAAATTAATTTGATGTCACCTTAACATTGTAGACCGATTCATGGTACAACATACACAATCAAGTAATTATGTGGTTGAAAAAATTAGTGTTTATGTCACCTAGTTACTCTGGTGATCTATGAATGACAATCATATTTCCGACTTCTCCTCAGAAACCTTCTGTCAAATTTTAATGAAACTTGGTGGTAATCATCAGTCTGTGGGGATCAGAATCTTTACTCAAGATGAGGCTGACCTCTCAGGAGGTAGAGGGGCATGGTCAGAGTGCAAAACCTTCCAATCACATCCTACAGATAGACTTTGACCAACTATCATAAATTATCCATAGTAGATGAGGATCAGAATTATGATGATCAAGAAGGGGCAGACTCCCCAGGTGGTCTGAGAGGCTTTGTAATTTATTATCCCTCCCCAGAAACAGGAGATATTAATTTGGGCATGTCTGTCTCTCGTGCTTTAGTTTCTATGCAGTATATATAACTCCCATAAAAATAGTAAGATTTCAACCAAATTTGGTATACACATGTGTAATGGCTAATATCAGGCTAATTGAGTTTGATTACCAAGTTGATGTGTGCATAATTAATAATACTACTTAACTCTGATTGGTTAAGCATGGTTTTCTTGCAGAAACTCCCCTAAAAATGGTTGGATTTCAACCAAAGGCCTAGGGGCATTATGGGTCATTTTCGGCATAAAACGTCATTGTTTCAACTCAAATATATATGTACCATTTTTTTTTTAAAATACATCATATTGGGAAATTGGGCCTATCTTTCTTGGCGCATCGCGCATGCGTAGATGACCCACCATAGCAACACAATTAGAAATAGCCAGAATATAGTGTTTTGAGACAGTTCACATGCAGAAATAAAACCCTGCGCATGTGACGAACAAAAATTCCTTTCCACGAATAAACACGGGTATGGAAATGTTTAAGCACACCAAATATTTGTTTGGTGCATGCGCAGGCTTTCAAACATTGAAATGTTTAATTGATTTGCTTCAAAATGTTTAATTAGGGCCCGGTATCAGAGATACGGGGCCCTATATAGTAATCACTCTGTCTGTCTGTCTGTCTGTCTGTCTGTCCGTCCACAAATTTTGTTTCTGGCTGATAACTTTGGTATTTATTGACCAATGTACATGGAACTTGGTCAAGGTGCTCAGTTTACAAAAATACACATTGAGGTAAAAAGTCAAGATCAAAGGTCAAGGTCATTAGGTTCAAAGGTCAAGGTCAAATTTTACATCTTTTCACTGATGAACATTTTGTTATGACATTATGAGGCAAAGTTGATCAGAATTAAACAAGGAGTCAACTGACCAAAGGTCAAGGTCATAGGGTCAGGGGTCAAGGTCAAGGTCAAATTTTGTAGCTTTTCACTGGTGAACATTTCGCTATGACATTATGGAGCAAAGTTGTTCGGAATTAAACAAAGAGACACACTGAGGTAAAAAGTCAAGATCAAAGGTAAAGGTCATTAGATTGGAAGGTCAAGGTCAAATTTTGCATCTTTTCACTGATGAAAATTTTGTTAAGACATGATGAAGCAAAGTAGATCAGAATTAAACAAAGAGTCAACTGACCAAAGGTCATTGGGTCAAAGGCAAGGTTAAATTTTGTATCTTTTCACTGGTGAACATTTCGCTATGACACTTTGAAGCAATGTTGTTCAGAACTTAACACAGAGTCAACTGACCTTAGGTCCAGGTTACGGGGTCAAGATCAAGTTTTGTATTTTTCACTGATAAACATTTTGTTATGATATTAAGAAGCAAAGTTGGTCGGAATTAAAGAATAAGTCAACTGACCAAAGATCAGGGTCACTGGGTTAATGGTCAAGGTCATTTTGGTCCAAAGGACAAAGACAAAGTGGATCTCTGACTTTGACCCTGGCTCTTGATGGAGGAGGTATATAAGGTGAAATAAAACAAATCAAAGCTAACAAATGAGTATTGCACCGGTATTTACATTTCTGTTAGCCCAGCAAATATGGAGGTGGAAGGAAACAAGACTCACATCATAGTACATGTAAAATGTATATTTTGCTTCCTTGCAATTCTTTTTGAAGTCCAAATGTCAAACGTCAAGCTCAGCTATATGGGCAGATTGNCATAAACAGACAGTAGATGATATTCACCCATTTTCTTGTGAAAAATGCTGCGTTATACCTCTCTTGGCACACCATATCTCCTATACCAGTTGTGGAACGTAATTGAAATTTTGCGTAAGTGTACAATCATTTCTAACTCCCTGATGAGGCCAGAAATGATCTTTAACGCTCCTAGTCCTCTGGTATGTACATGCATAATGGCAGATCTCGGGCTAAGAAGTTCAATCGACAAAGCTATGTGTACAAATTTATGCATAATTAATGAGGGTACTTAGTATGGTTGTTTGTGTTTATAATAACTCCCTTGAAATGGTTCGATTTCAACCAAATTTGGTATGAGCAATTGTCTGCTAAGGATTCTCCTTTTGAAAAGTACATCTACACAAAAACCTCTACATATATAACATATCCTGCAAGCGGGGAATATTAAATCCCACAAATTTGTTTGACAAACTTTTGTGAAATCATTCTTTGCTCACTGCCCCTCATTTGGGGGGATTTGGGGGG